TATGTATTTAGAAATAGGATCCTTCCGGAATCTCTACCTCACAACACATTTGCTAAAACAAGCTATAATTTTTTTATGAAGTTATTATGTATATTTTGCATAGTTAATGAATTTAGAATGTCTGTAATTTTTGGGTCAAATGTAAACCAAAAAACCAAAAAACTGAACTATTCAGAAATTTAACCATCACATATTTCTCCATAATCAATATTTTAAAACTTAAACAAGAAGCCAATGAAAAATGATACAAGACTAAAAACACAAATAGATCCATTAGAAAAATCATTATACAATCAGCAATAGACCATATACCATTAAAATGGATAGCAAATGAAAAAACTAATACTAAAGAAAAATCTACATCATTAAAATTAAATTATAGATACCTAAAATATTTGGTAAAATTATAATAAGATTAGATAAATAAGAAAGGGACTCCCAACAAATGAAGAATGGATTATAATAAAAATTAATATTGTGGATATTTCAAAGGAAATTGAACATCCATTAGAAAGTATAGATAATTTCATCAATGAAAACAATATAAACAAAATGAAAAAACGTTTTCAAAATATACAATACAATAACAATAACATGTAAATTACAAGAAACAAAATTTGAACAAGATCAATTAATTATTTTATTGAAAAAAAAAATATGGAAGGATTACAGAGCCAAGGATTCATGATAGATTCTATATTGGAAAGGGAACATAAACACATAATTTTAGATAGAGTTATATATAAAGAAAATAATATTATCATGCAAATTACTGACCCAGGGAAAATCAAAATGTGGTAGGTAACATAAATGAATCAAGATCTTTAAATGATCATTGGAACCTTCAATACCATCCAAAAGATGACATAAATTCAGGAATATACCATGGTATAATGGACTCACATTCTTTCAAAAATGGAAACAAATTTTAACATCACTATCAAATGACAAAGCCACAGGTCCATATAAGTAATGAAATGCTTAAAATCTAGGTAAAAATTAAACAAATGTTTATCAGTTAATCATACAGCATGTATTAAACTAAATGACATTCCAATCAATGGAAGTTTGTCACGATATATCCAATTTCCAAACAAATAAACTGGAAGTGTATAGAGAAGACTTGACCTATAACTTTATTAGAATGTACCAGGAAAGCAATGGTTAAATTAATAAACAAATACCTATCACAGATCATTGGGGCATGAGATGCCCTAATTAAATACAATTATTTTTGTATTTATGGATTGTCTGAGGGCAGCTTTCCATAAGAAAGAGAGAGAGATTTTCAATAATTATGGTATTATTTTTTTACATGATCATTGTTAACCCAACCATTTGTTTATTATTGCAAGAATCTCATCATTATGTGATAGATTCATGTTTCAATTCACCTTGCTATATCTAAGTTGATTGATTAACTGTACAACAGTATGTGCTTTAATTTTTTTATGTCCATTTCTTTTTTTTTCTAATTAACAAAAAAAGAATAAGCAAAACTGGCAGAGAATCAACTCCCAAGTAAGTATCATTAGAGAACCCTGAATGATGTTAGAAACCATTAGTCAAGCTCTAATTTAATTAATTTAACTTATTTTAATTTATTTCTAATTTACATTCACTACTACTATCGACAATTATAATGATAATACTAATAGTATTATTACTAAATACTAAATGTATTTGTAAGCCTTAAATCTCAAGTTGAACTGAAACCTACAAGAGAATACGAAATATGAAGTTGATGGATGCCAATAAAAGCAATAAGGCCATTAATGATATCAGCAATAATGTTGGTACTGAAAACAACAAGTTATTTGAATCTTTCAGGAATAGAAAATTATTTAATCAGCACAGCAATATTCATGAAAAAAATCTTGAGTGTGAAAATCCAAGGATGTAACAAAATATTTTGCCAAAAAGGCAATTTGCTATATCACACCAAGCACCATCTTAGAATAAGAGAATTCAAGTGTGAATACATACCAGGATGTGCAAAAAAACCATTTTGTTGAAATATGAATTAAAGGTTCACACAGAAGCCATTTTGGAATAAACATGAATGGCAAAGCATTTTGTCAAAATTATGTATTAAAAGTTCGCACAGAAGTTCATTTTGGAATAAATTAAAATTTGAAAAACACCAGTTGTTTGCCTTCAAATGTTGTTGATAAATGCCCAATTGTTTTTTTTTTCAAAAAAGTGGCCGAAGCTTGACACACAAGTAAGTATTATTAGAGAATGATTGTTTTCTAATTTATTATTTAACTTTGACTTCTATTTATACTTATTTAGCAACCAATCAATTTCCAATTACTTTTCTTCATTACTACCAACACTTGATCAGCTCAAAACATTTTGTCTATCTGGCAGTTTACTAAAGCATAAAAGATCGTAAATGGTAATGTACCTGAATGTGACAAAAAATTTGTTACAAAAATATAAACTCAACAAACACAAATTAAATATGATGATTTAATTAAACAAACATACTACATACACCGTGAATTTCAATTCAGCAGATCTTAATAATAATAAAAATCTTGATTTAATGGATTAATAGAAATTCACTTTTAATTTACAAAATGTTTGTTTTATTATTGATTTTTTAATCATATTATAAAAATGTAATTTTTTATCAGTTTAGTATATTGATCCAAAAAATTAATATTATTGGTGATGGTGGTGGTGGTGAACAAATTCAGGAAAAGAAGAGGAGTGAAGAAAAATGGAAAAATGGAAAACCTTAATCATAAAAATGGTTTCAAATAATTTTTATAATTGGTATCAATTCCAGATCTGCCCACAACAACCAGGTTTTATTTATTTTAAAGTTGGCATATATTTGGTGTGTGTAAATAATATTCAGCTAAATTATCTTATTGGCATATGAATTGACTTTGAACATTCCAACAAGTTTTAGAAGGGAAGGGGTCGGTTGATGTGAGCCACATCAATGTTAACATATCAAGTTCACATTTCATGAGACAACAGAATGTCTCATGCCCATCTTAAATTTCATTGGGCATATTCAATTTTACAAAATTTTTATATTTCTTTCATTTAGTGATGAAAGCATCTGATTGCAAAATTTCAACTAAATATCAGGCATGGCTTGGAGAATGTCAAAATACGCAAAATGCCAGTATTCCATATTTGGCAAAGTCCTACTTTTCTTATATATATTTAAGAGAAGACTAAAGAATTATATTAAAAAATTTATCATAAAAGAGAGAAAATGAAACAATTACTAAAATTTTTGAACTGCGTAATTCTCATCCCATTTATTATTTGTTTATTATTAATTTATTGTTAAATATTAAATCCCAGTTAGCAAATATAATTGGGCCTTTACAAAAGCCTTTGAACATGATTTTGAATTCAACCATTTTTTAAAGGTTATAAGTATTTATTGATTTTTCTAGGTCATTAATTTTGGGATTTATTTTTTTGTCAAAGTTCCATCCATATAATGTATTGGATATGTAATCATAATCATCATTAATTAGCTTCATTGCTGTCCGATAAAGGACGTATGCAAGGTTGACAAATCCAATGAGGAAATGTTTTGTAACCATTTTCATCCTTCCTAATGTCTATATTTTCATCATTTTCTGCAGCTGTTTTCTATATATATATAATATTTAATAATTTAATTAATGGAATGAACAACAACAACAATATACGTACCATTAATCGTTTATTTAATTCTTCAGATATTGAACATATTTCTTCAAAACTGTTTGCTTTACCTAATTTTTCTCTTAAATCTACATGAAAAGGTAGTGCAGGCTTATAAATTTTAAAAAGGTGACCACGAATACAAGTAAGTCTGGTGGAAATAGTTTTACAAATCTCTAAATATTCAGCTGACATTTGCCATACTGGAGGATTTATTCCAGCAAAAATTGCCGGATTATAAAGATTTCCTTCAGCTGACATTATTCCATCAACACCAGTTATGTCTATGCAATTTTGGATGTCTTCAAAGTAAAGAATATTTCCATTAGCAAAAACTGGTATTTTAAGTTCTTTCCTAAATCCATCATTGTCATAATTCGAAATTAGATTCAAAAAAATTTTTTTAAAAAAAAGATAATTCAGTATTGAATAATATTTTATATATATACATATATATACTTTATACGACGAATCTGTTCCCAATCAGCCAAAGCAGTTTTATGACCTTTTTGATCACGTATTCGACCATGTACTGCTAATAATTGTGCACCAGCACTTTCAATCATTTTTGCATATCTTAAAGTTTTCTCAACATCAGGAAAAATACGGATTTTGGCTGTTACAGGAACTGAAAGATTTTTATGAAGTGTGTTTACTAAACAATTTTTTTTTAAAAATTAATATATTAATAATATAAATATTTATCAAAAATAATTATATATAATGTTACAATTATAGTTATAATTACTTTATATCTTAATATTTACTTAATTTATAAATTAATTCCCATTCGTCTTGTAAATAAGAACCATAATGACCTTTCACGTGGAATACGAACACAAGAAAATTGTATCCATCCATTATCCAATCCATTACGTCCAGATTTTGCTCCTAAATCTCCAGCAGTAACACCTGGTAATAGTTTTGCTGTTTCATGATCACGTAATGGTACAATAAACCAATTTAAACCACAATCTTTTCCATTGACAATAGTTTGGCAAAGTACAGATGAGTGTGTTGCAGTCTGACCAGCCATTCCAATCCACCATTTGGTTGACATTAATGTTGGTGAATGAATTATAAACTCATCTGTCGCTTGATTGTATGTTGCAGTTGTTTCTAACCCACGAATAAAAGAGCTATTTTAATAAAAATTAATTAAAAAAATTGAATTTAAATTTAAACTTTATATAAATATTACAGTGATACTTTATCAATTGACCTTACCTGTAACCCAGTTCGGTCTGTATTTTTTAAAGAAAAAATAATTGTAAATGTTGAAATTTAGAGATTTATTTATTCATAAGAAAGACAGATAATTTACCATTGCAAAACAACCAACAATACGCCAATTTTTAACATCATCTGTCCATTTATCATATTGTTCTGGTGTACCAAATATTTTAAATGTCTGATAAAATAAAACATCGTTAACATATACTTTCATTTTATAACTTGCAGAATACATGCTGATAATAATAATAAGAAAATTAATTAATTTATTATAGTTTAACAAAATTTCTCATAATTGATTAGAAATTAATTTTTACTATAAAGCATTCTTTAAAGCTTCCAATAACAATGGATCATTTAATGATTTTTCCAATTCTTTGAAACGTCGAATTTGTCGTGCAACGCTTGATAAAAAAATGAATCAAATTATTTTTCTTATTTTTTTGCCTCAATTTTTATTTTCCTCTAAATAAAAAAATATAACACTTACTGTTCCCCCTCTTCTGTTCCCCTTAAACCAAAATTGTGCCCCGCACTCCCATCCAACCCTCTCTCCCCCTGCATCCTTCCATCCCCC